TGAACTTCATGCCAGTCTGGAAAAACCAGCCTCCATCTGGTTGCTCTCTGAAGCCTGGCAGCGTGGTTTTGCTGTAAGATCAGATGGGATTTCAGCATCTTCAGAAGAGCAGGTGGCAACACACAGCATCTTAATGCTATGGAGCATCCACCAGCATTGTGTGAGAGCTTGCAGATTTAAGCTGTTCTGGTCTTAATCGTACTGAAACTTGAGAGAGAAAGGGATTTGCCAAGTGCCAACACTTTGCAAAGGTGCAAATAAACGCTGGGTGTGTGTGCTACACGTGTGTAATGGTGACTGCCTTAATGTGACAGTTGCAGAGGAGAGGGGTTTGTATCTGGAACTGATATCACAACTTCTGTTGGTCAGTGTGATCGTTGTCAGATCTCAGTGGTGCAAATGAGTGCAGATTTGCAGATTTCAGAGATGTTGTCCCAGCTGCACCACCGAAGGTGTTTTGTTGTGCTGAGATAACAGACATAAATCAATCTCTATGGAAACCTGAGAGTTTTTGTGATTGGGATTTGCTGGGTGTGGTATTTTACCTGAAGTGCAGTGGTTACTCCTTGAGTGTATCATTGCACCCGTGTTTGATGCAGTGTGCAAGAGATGTTTGCTTATCAAACACACTGGGAAACCTGCATGCATAGAACCAAACTGAACATAAGAGGAGGCACTGCTTCCAAAACTGATTCCATTGAGGCCACAATGTTGAGGTCTGCGTTGAAAACTTGGAAGAAAATGAAAACTTGGTGATGCTTTTCCCACTGTTTCATTCTCCCGAAGTGAGAGGCACAGCACTGTGTTCTGTTGGCTCTTTGCAGTTTCATGGTACATCAAAGTTTCTGCATCAGGGTGAGTGATTAAAACAGTCTTTGTAGTCTTTATGGTCACTTCCTTTCAGTGACTGTTGTAACAGAGGTTTCTTGAATGTAATTACACTGTCATTACACCAGTTTTGTTTCTAAATATGTAAATAATGCCTATGACTGGGAGGTTAACTTCATGACAGCATAACAGCCTTGGATATTACTCTTAATGAAGTGCTATTAAACTTCAGATATCTAACTGCATCATATTTATGTCGTAATTATTGCTACTTGCTTGGTGCATTTCCAGTTAGACAAATTAGTGGCAATTGCAAAAAGGCTAAAACAAATGCCTGGTGTAAATGTACTGTGATTGTTGGCTAATTACAGAGTAATTACGTGGTTATGAAATACGGTCTAATACATCTTTGCTCTTAGTTTGCATTCTTCTTTTCCTCCTGCTGTCATTCAAGTTTCCTCAGCAGACCTCATGGCCATGCCCACACCTTTGAGGCAGAGGCCCTTTACATCCCAGGAGCATTAAATCATGGCTTTCCATGGATGTATTCATCATATAGAGTCAGATAAACTGACTTCAGCACCCAAAAAATAACAGAACTGATGAAAGCCTTTCTGGTCATGGGATTTTTATGGCTTCCTTTTCTAACAAAATGCTCTAATCTTCCTTCTCTCAGCACACTGACTGCATGCCTTGTATTTATTTACCTGGTTACAAGATCTGTGGTGGTTTTGTTATCTGTCTCCTGTCCCTCCATCGCGTTTGACCAAAATGGCTCAAATCAATTTGGAAACTCAGAGACACAGATGGGAAGCGAGGCTAAAAATCTGCGTATGTGCAGCAAAGCTGAGGCAGAAATGCCCACTGAGTGGTTTTATTGCCCTTTCTCAAACTCGAATTTCATGCAACTTTATGCTTTTAAGATGTGCTCCACTTTGACTCCGTACCCATTAGGATAATGGGGTTATTAGGAGGTCCTACTTCATGTGCTCACAACACACGTTCACAGGTACGCATTTTCCTTTTCTTTAAACTGTCACCTATGGCTGCTTGACAGAATTTCAATAAACATCCTTCGTTTCCCTCAGTTATTAAGATAACTGGGTATAAAGCAGCGTCCCCAGAACCTTCACAGTGTCTTTTTAAGCAGCCCTTCTCTTCTTGTTCATCGTTAAAAGGCAGCGTTCTGTTCAACGTGCCCTGTGGCATTCAAAAACCTGTTGAGGAACCTGGTGCAATCAGCTGTTTTCCAAATCTGGACTGGAATAGTCATAGTCACATTTTTTAGAGGGCTGTCAGTCCAAGCTTTGATGTTCTAATTCTGTGCATGCAAAATCCTAGGGAAAAAAAAATATATATATTGTTTCAGAAGCAGTCAGGCATGAAAAGCAAAAGGTTTTTATCAGAGCTTGTAGGAGAGACCTGACACACAGAGCTGATAGTTCAGGGTGTTAACTTACAACGCTGTACACAGAAACACATCCTGAATTTCTATTCCCCAATATGTTTCTACATATGGTTGCAATTCACATGACATTTTGGAAGATGCTTTGCACGCTGCTTCTTGAGGTTTTTCATCTATGTATTTAAATTTATTTTTTTTCCTGCTGTCCTCTGGAAGGCAATTGTTGAGACATCTCAGTTGTTGAGATATCTCTGTTCTCCAAGCTCTGTTTGATGCAGGTGAGGTGGGAAACTTGCCTCTTGTTCCTGGAACAAGTGAACGTGTGCTAAAACCGAGAGCACTTGAGCAGAAACCTCAACCATAATTCCAGGTTTTCAGTGCTGATCTGATGCTGGGACTCTTTTGAAGCCAGCAGAATCCTCCTTATGATGGGGGAGCTGATGAGACCGAGAGAAGCGATGCTTCCAAATGATTTTGACATTTTGAGAAGAAACCGTTTTCACAATTAATCCCGAATTTTTGCTGCTGGAGCTTTTATGACATAAAAGAACTGCAGAAGCTTTGAAGTCCATTTCAGCAAAAGCAAGAAAATTTCCACTCCATCTGTAATTCCAAAAACCTGCCTTCTGAAATAGCAATTAGTGCTGTTTTTACAGTAAAATTTCCCCATCGTGTGAATGTCCAGATGGGCAGGCTTGTTCTCCTCCTGCTCTGTGTAAATTAGAGCAGGGAACAGGCAGGCAGGGCTCCTGGGTTTCATTTCCAACTTTACCACTTATTCCCTGTGCGTCCTATGAGTAACGTTTGATTTTAGCTTACGCTTTGTTTGTAAAATCGAGATAATTACACTTTTCCTAAGGGAGGAGGAGGAAAGGCACTAAGGCGTAAGTCAGAAAACAGCACAGGAGGAACTTCTAAAAACTTTGGCTACTGCCCCGATTCCCCCAGTGATTTCTGATGCTGTTATATTCTGAGCGTGGTGTCACAAAACCAGTCACCCATGCAGGTTTGTAATCTGAGGCTGTAATCATACAAAAATTTAGGCATTTATTGGGAAAGCATATAGTTTGTGCTCAGCTTGTTTCTCAGCCTTTGCAGGTTGGAGTGCAAATATGCAGTGGGAAGAATGGTTTGTAAAGAGTGAAGCAGTTGGGTGGGTAATGATGGACGTATGAACGTGTGAGCATCTTTGTGCTTTTAATATGATTTGAATGCACGCCACCCTAAGTGGTGTCCAAATTTATCACACGTTGTCATAAACCGAAGTGTGTAGATAAGGAATCTGGTGCCTTTAGCTTTCTCTGAAGTTCAGTTTAAATAGAGATTTATGTGCAGAGCACAGCTGATGCCATTTGAAATCTCAGTTTTGGTTATGGAAGGAGCCTGGAGTAAGTAGGATGCTAATGTGGTTACCACAGGGAATGGCTTTAAAGTAGGGAGTGATGAATGCAAGGCAGTATCTGTAAAATAACAGACTTTGTTCATCACTTTCAGTAAAGGCAGGTGACTGGTAGAAGCCAAAAACATCTAGGAAGAAAATATGCATGAGGTAGGAGGCAGGCACATGCTGTTAGCTGAAGTCACGTCGTATTTCATAGACAGGCTACAATTCCCCTCCCTGTCACAAGGAGAAAATAATGGAGGAAGCTTTTCAATGGCATAAGGGCAGTTTTATGCAATTTGTATTGCAAGCCAGTGACCTTAGAGTGACTGCTGGCCTATCAGAGGGGTTTTGAAACGAAACCCTTCCTTTAGTCCTTGAATTAGAGACAGACAAACGGTGCTTTACGTGCACACTCCATCTGCTAACCTTGGATGGAGTCCTTTGCATCTTTTAATAAGCTTTTTAAAATGTAGCAGAGCTTCTTTGTTTCCTTGGCCTCAAAAGGGTGGAAGCCAAGAGAGATTTCATCATTCACGTGCCATGAATAAAATGACCATGCAAGCGGAATCCTTTATGAGAAAAATTAATTAATTAACATTCCGTGCATCAGCAGAGCTGGACAGACTGCAGACAAGTGTGAAGTGATGGCTGTAACAGCAGCATGGACTTTTGCAGAGGTGGGTGTTACAACCCCTGGCTTATCTGCACATCTGTCTGATGGCTTTTATCTCCATCTGAAATTCCTCCCTGCAGGACTTTGAGCTGCAGGGATCCCTTGTTGGTGGTTTCCCTCTGCTCACTCGCACACAGAGGAGTGGGTTCTGTCTCCCAATAAAGCAGCTATTTTCCTACAGGCTGCAGCACTGCTGCCTTCCCTGCATCCTTGCCTGTCTTTCATGTTTTAAATCTGACACGTTTAGCCACAGTATGCGTGTTTATACAGTCAGTATATAAATATACCTTGACTTCTTTCCAGCCTCTCTTTATCTCCAGAGATCTAGGCCCCTTAAAGAAAATATTATTCTTTGCCAGCAGCACATAAGCATCAATTTACAGAATTTTTTCATAAATAGAGCCTTCCCGGGGGCTGTATTATTGATTTACTTTTCACCTAGCACAGCACTCGCGTCTTGATCAGAAAAGGCTGCTCTCAAATTGTGCAGTTCTGGTTTTCCTTTAACTCCATTATCAAAACATTCACTCTTTCCGAGGCTGGTAATAAAGCAGCCTGGCTTTGCCAAAGAGAAATATTGCTTATGGTCCAAGTTGTGTCTCTGATAATTGAGACCCGAATGCCAGAAAGTCATAAAAAAAAAAAAAAAGTTCCTTCTGGTCACCGAGTTCCACCCAGTTTGTTTTTCTTGTTTCCCATGTTTTTCTTCTTGTAAACCACCTCACATTGAATTATCCAGCCACTGCAAGAAGCTCTGCCAGTCCTCATGTGTCTTATGAGCTGCTAGGGCTGCGTTTCATTACCCATGATATACAAACATGCAGCATTTATGAGGATAACAACGCATTGTACAGGTGGAGATAAGCTCCTGTCAGGAAGTGTCTATAAAGCACGAGCAATTCCAGCACTTGTTTTTTTGCGTTCCTGATATTGTCAGTGGAATTTCAATTCTGTATCCTGCAAATGCGAGCCGTGTTGGTGAGAGTTATGTGCTATAGAGATAGCAGCTGGGGGCTTCAGGGTAAGGAAACATCCATCTTTGGGTTTCCTTGGATGTAATGACAAGAGGCTGTGAGAACAGCTCTGCTTTGCGAGGTGCTGCGTGAAATAAAGCCAGTGCAAAGAGCTGCAGGTGAGAGTGGGGGTAACAAAGGGGATAAGATGGGGAAGGGGCAGTGAGAAGTAAACTGAGAGCAGTGTGTGCTGAGCAAATCACTGCGTTCACTCCTCTGAGGTCCCCTAAACGAGAGCAATGCTTTTCAGTAGGGATTCATCCTGCAGCGAGCACAGAATTGCTTCTGAGATTTGGAAAAGGGCAGACATGTGGCAGTGGTGAAATTCAAGGTGCAGCTTTCTTAGCTACGACTGTTATTTGAGCTGACAGAGGCCACTTAGGTGAGTTACAGCATGGTTCTGTTCCAGTCACATTGGGTAGATGGAAGCACAGCCTATTAAATACTGCTCTGGAATAAGTTTCCCTTCAGCTGCAGCTTCCCACCACTTCTGCTGTTGTTTTTACTACTTGTTAGAGTGGAATACAACAAAGTTTTAGCACAGAAGAAAGACTCACTGTGACAGCTGCTGGGCAAAAGAACAAACAAGTGCACAGTTGTTGCCCCAAAGCCTTTTTATGTCACTTCTGTAGTCAGCCCTGAAGATACAGACATTTACATTGGGACCATTTAAACTGTTATCTTTGGGATTTGCACATGTTGGATAGAGATGATATTCCTTAATTTGCCACAAACCCTTTAATTTGCCACAGAAACAATCAAACAAGTCTTACTTCTGTCTCAGAGCCTGGAAAATCGTATGAGTCTTAGGGATTCTTCAGGAGATGAGAGGAAAAAGATGATGGAAAACCCAAGTTTAAGGTTTCCTTTCTGACTGCAACGCCTCAGCTGTTACATGGAGCATTGGAGTGCTGGAGAACTGCTGGCAGAATCACATCAGATCAGGATTTGCCAATGGAAACTCTTCCACCAAGGGGATGGGGATGAAGACAAAACGTTCCTGAGATTTGCTCTTGCCATCTCCCAAGCCTTCAGGCCTTCTGCCTGTCCCTGCACAGCAATGATTGCCCACAGCATTAATGGTATTTTGAGGACAAGACTGATAGTACCCTTTTCTTTTTCCCCCCCCATATTCCAACCATGTAACCAGCTGGAGTTCTGCTTCAAAGGAGGAAACTACTGAAGTCTCAGCTGGTTGCTTTGCTGTCAGCCCCTCTCGATCAGGATGTTTTATGCTGTTTGTCAGCATGGTTTCTAAACACCCGTGGCCTCAGGCTTTGAAGGAGTTCAGCCTTCCCTAAAATTGCTGATGTTCCTTGTTGTGCAGTTTGCATAATTTTTGCAGTGGGCTTTTCCTTAAGATTGAGAGTCCTAAGTGGTTCAAACCTATGGGGATCTCCAATTTTCGTCCTCTCCATCAGCATTCTGTTTGTAGAGGCAGAGCATCTCTCTATCAATCTTCCTTACAGCTCCCCTTTGCTTTGCTCCTTGGACTATACACTGGGGCATAAAATAGAGTGGAATGTTTCCTATTTTGTGTGCTAATAAGCAAAAACAGGAAAAAAAAAAAAAAGAGCAGCAACCTGTGCATTAGTTTGCTCCAGCATGTGCTGTAACATTATTAGCTGATTCCTTTGGAAAATTACCACCAGTACAGCTTTGCTGACTTGCACATGTATAATGTATAAATAGAGCCATCAAAGTTTAATGCACCTTTAGCAGTGTATTTCCTAACACTGCCTGTGACAGGGGTTTCATATTTTTTTAAATCTCAACAGTTTATCACCAGTGCACTGCAACAAAGTGCAGCTCAGCTGTGCCATCCACAGAGGTACATTTATTCCCTGTGTTCACTTCTCCACCACGACATGCAATACTCACTGATGGTTTTTTCCCCTACAGCCTTATGACACAGCCTGCCAGCCTCTCTGGATTTGTCCTTAGTCCCACAGTTGTGCCCACAGACCCAGATCCAGGCTCTATGCACACACAGATTAGTCTTTGCCCCCAGGGCATTACAATTTAAACAGACCAAACTAAGCAACGTGAAGACAGATCAACTGTATGAAACAACAACAGATGAACGAAAAATGAGCCTAGATGTTTTCTATCTGTGGCCACTAGATCATACTTCAAGTTTTTTTTTCCTCAGTATGAATATAAGGGAGAATGAGTGTGAACAGATGGTACGTAGAGGGAAGGAAGAGATGAATGTTAAGATAGAAAGTCACCTGGGTGAGAGAAATACAAAAAGTTGGACTCCATAAAAAGAAAATGCTGCTGCTTCTAATTTAGATTTTTGATCGAGGCATTTGCAGCAATCTGAGTACTGTGATTGAGAGATGTTTGCCTTACCATTAGAAGCCCGTGTGGCCCATGAATTCTCAGAGCCACAGCCTTCACGTTTCAGGGATACATCCACACATCTCTGGAGAGCAGCTGGAATAAAGTTGTGCCTCCAGCAAAGACATGGAGAGAACACTGAAAAAGGAAAAGATGCAGAAGTTTCAGCTTTGAGAGTCCACAGGTGGGCAGTGGAAAATTATGATAAGCTATGGACACAAGCTCAGGAAAACCTGGCTCTGCTACTTAAATATCAGACATCTGTGGTTTTGCACACCTTTCAGCCTGGAAGTCTGCAGTTGTATGGCTTTACCTGTGAGCTGAAACCTCCAGGAGGAAAAAAGAAATAAGTGGGTGTGTGAAAAAGCCACGACTCAACCTTGCAGCATCCAGGAGGCTGTGCTGCTGAGCTGTGATCTGCTAGGCTAATTACAGAGGGAGAGTGCAGTCATTTGTGGGCTCTGTTGGTTTCAAAACTGCTGCTTTTGGCAAAGCCAACAATAGAAGGCTGCATATATTTAGATATTAATTTGTGAATTAAAAGCACTGCATTTAGCATCTTTACCAAAAAAATGACAAGAACACCAAACACAGTGATGATTGCTTTGCCCTTTGAGCCATGTCTTTTTGAAGCAAACTGGCCCTTGGATTTATAGATTTTATTATTATTAATGTTCTCTCCTGCAAAGAATTCTGTTCTGTTGCAGTTCAAGAGCTCTTTCCATAATGTCAAGCTCCCTTATATTTTCAGCCCCCAGGAGAATTCACAGTGCTACTTATTTTTCCTACAAGCCAGCAGGTTTTGATGTAATAAGGAGTAATAATGTTTTCCAATACGGATTTATTCCAAGGTAATCCAATGGCTTTTCAAAATGGAACTGCATTATTTCCTTAAGGCTCTGGTGCAGCATGGCTTCATGCCTTTCATTGCTTCTCTGCTGCTGGCTGGAATCTTACTGCTTTGTGCCACAGACTTATTTGCCATCTCATAGCCTGGTTTTGGAAGCAGGAATGTCTGAGTTCCCTTCCTGCTGCTGTCATGAAGTTACGAGCACAAGCAGTAGGTAAACCTCATTGCTGACAAGTGCAACATTTCATGCTGCATTTCCTAAATGCATGTGAGCTATTAGTTTAAAGAGCTATGAAGAATGTAGTCTTTTAGCTTACCCTCACTCTGTTTGCTTCATTCCTTTGAGTCCACTGATAAATCACAAACAGGAGGGATATTTGCACAGACTCCAAACTGGTGAAGCTATTGCTTGAGCTGAGAGAAGGGCAAGCAGGAAAAACCTTTCAGCTTCTCCTCCCACCCCCCCACTGCCCGTGATTCATTTGAAACAGAAAGCAATCACATATACTAGGAAAAAAATGGGTTTTGTCTTTTCTGTAATGGTTTTCTCCTCTTTCAAAACCAGGAAAAGTTAATTTTTGATACAAAGCCAGAACAAAGAGATGCTGTGGGGGTAGGAAGAGCACGAGATGGATTTTCTTGTTGCCTTCATCACTTACCGAGCTGCAGAAACGTCTGTAAGATCAGATTAAATTCAGAAGCACAAAGCACTTGATTAAGGTGGGGAGAAGAGTAAACTTTTCCCTGTGGGGAAAAGTGACAGACAACTGTTATTTCATTTCCAGGATGCTTTTTATTGAGGTAACTGATAGACGTGCTCTTTTCTTTCAGTGTTTTCAGAGCACCACTTCAGTCATCTCTTCCATATTTATTAGGGGAAAGGAAAAGGAGAAAGAGGTGAAATTTATAGAACATGGCATTAATTACTGCTTACCTTTCTGTTTTATGGCAGCAAGTGATGTATTTCTAATAGAGGTGCACCACAGGCATGGTAAACAGGCAACAAGCCTGAATCAGTACCAGTGCTGGAGCAAAAGCTGTCAGCTGAAGAAATCCCAACAAAAGCCCCAGAAAAAGTTTCATTAGAAGTCAAATTCAATTTATTACCCACCATCTTTGCTCACCTTCACTGCTAAGGTCACCGATTTTCCTTCAGCTGAGGGAAGCTGGTGGTATTGAGGTCCTGAGAGATGCTCACATGAGCAGCAGCTGAGTTATGCTGAGAGTTAAATCACAGAAGTGATGCAGGGAGAGGAAAATACAGGTAGCTGAAATCCAAGCCATGCATTTTTCAAGAGATGAAAGCTCAAATTTAAATGGATTAGGATCATTTTTCCTCACCTTTTCATTGTCCCATCCACCAAAACAGATGGAGCTGATAAATTCTCTGTCTTGACTTGGGGAATCCAAATCAATGGAAAACTTCTTTGGGGCTCTTCTGGAGAGGTAACCCCAGTTCATTGTTTGCTCTCACAAAGAGGACTGTTGGAAGTGGAGTTGCTTATGCTAAGAGAGGTGACTGCAGCACTGGCTCAGTACCACGGAACCTTAAATACACTCAAAGGGAGCTTTTGGCCAAGGCTCAGCAGTGGGATCTGGGTTAAGCTGCTGTAGGTATTATTGCCACAGCAGCAGGCACTCAACAGGCCAACCCCCTCCACATTCACTGAGCACTGGAAATAAATACCTTCTTTGGCAAGTGTAACTGACTTAAGACCATCCTATCTATTGTGGCAACACAGTTGGGTGCCACTTCTCCAAAGCAGCTAAAAGCTATTATAAGCAAGTAATACCAGTGTTAGCTTCCTTCTCTGTGCCTGGTTTCACTGGGATCTTTGGCAGGACAAGATAAGCCTGTCAGCATACCAGTGTTCTGTTAACTCTGCACAATTTGTAATTGACAACTCCCTGGTTGTCCAGATGAGGGTTTCTGCTGCCTCTTATTGGTGCTTTATGAGCGTTGTAAGGTATTGTAATGCTACAACGTGATAGAAAGCACAGCAGTGATAGCAAGGTAGCAAAGTCCTAGGCTGTAGCAAGTGAGGATAAGCCCAAATGGAGCAGCCACAGACACAAAGAAAGAAAAATCCACTTACCATTAAAAGGCCTCAGGTAGGCAGGGATCTGCAGTGAGATCCCATCACCTCCACTGCCAACCCTTAAATGATGGCTGGGAAGGGGTGGATCCTGGCTCCATCCCTTGCAATCACTCAGACACATTGCATGCACCTGAGCTGGCCCTGCCTTCCCATCAGGTGCTCAGTCATTGTTCCAAGCCCTGTCTTAGCATTTCTCCTATAGATATTTAACAGAGATGTCACACACATCCCTTTTTTACACATTCTGTAGTTTTTTTTTCCACTTCAGCCGTGCAGCAGGAGGTGGTGCGGTGTGGGATGGAGTCACAGAGACATTTAGAACAAGGATTTCTATGAGATGAGACACTTGCTCGGTTCTCTCCCTCATTCTTTTCCCATGAATTCCCCAGAGATGTGTACCTACAAGCACGGAGTAGCTGAGTTCGAGTTTCTGTGCTTCATTTTTGGCATACCCTCACATTGTGTAAAATCTTACCTTGCTCTTGCACTCTCATCGACGTACTTAGAAAGCTGTGCTCTGCTCAGAGCCCTGTGCCAAAGATCTCTCGTGGATCAGGGCCTTGAGCAGAGCCAGGAAATGACTGTAAGCACGAGAAGCTGGGTGTAATAAATGGTCGTCTTTGTTTCCCTGCAGAGCTTTTCCCTTTGCCAGTTTGTAGACCTGTGCAGCAAGTTGCTTTGTTTGTACAAGTTATGCCAACTCTGGCATAACTCTGAAAACCTATTGGGGAATAGGAGCATGCGTTTTGCCTGGTGCTTTAAACAGCTCCATGTTACACTGGGATGAGCTTTATTTCTTTATGGTAGCATAAAACTTATCTTTTCCCTAGCAGTTGGCTCTTAGAAGACTTATTATCTTTGTTTTCCCTGAAAACTGTGGAGTTGAGTGGTGTGAAATGCCATTTCTGGCACTTTGGTGCCTGTGCTCAGGCAGCCCAAATTGTCTGGGCTTTTCCCTCTTGCTTCTTGTCCCATTATTTTTCACATTTTCGGTTCCATACCCTCTGCAATAGGCTCTGATTTCCTTTAGCAGAATCTCTCTGTCTCAGCCTCCTGTCCTTTAGAGTTCTTAACATCTGTGGTTTCTTGCTAAGTCTTCAAGAACGCCAGGAAAACCTGGCATTCGTTATTTTATATATCAGAATACGCTGAAAGAAAAAAAGTGAAGTGCTTTGCAGCTGCAATACAGCAGAGCTCAGTTAAATAAATAGATTGTATTCATAACTATTAGCTTTTTGCAGTCACCATCATGCTGACCTACTGCATCTCTAAGAACCATTGCTGGTTTATCCAGGCAGCTTCAGCAACCGGATTCTTTTCCAGATGTCTCTTCTCAGAGATTCTGTTCACAAAGCAAGCTGGCAGGCTGGTGCTACAGGCAGAAGAAAGGGATCACGTCGGGTCTTACTGAAAGTGAGATAAATGCTTTTAAAGGGTAGAAAATTAGGGAGCATATTGATGCAAATAGCAAGAAAACGCTCTTTGAGACAGTGGGGATTTTTTTATTGTCCAGGTGAAGGTGCAGGCAGACGTGAGACCTTCAGGTGCACATAGGAAAGTACATGGTTAGCTTTCTGTTTTTTCTTTTGGGGTGCACCTTGTTAAACTCTGTTTAAAAACTCCCCACGACATTTTCTTTGGGGACCTGGAGATTACAGCAAGCAAATGTTATCCTTATAGGTCATTAACAACCAAGGAACTCATTTTGCATCAGAAGAGGCATCTCACCAGATGGTGCTTCTGAGCACATGATGAAAAACAGCTGCTTTGCTACTCATATATTTCTTTCCTTGCACAGCTAACTGCTTTTGATTAAGGTATAGAGATATATATGCTGAAGCTATTTTAGTTTGTATTCTGTTGCAGGAGAAGCATTAAGGTGCACCCCAAGCTTGTTAAACACAGCATTAGCAACGTCAGTACAGCAATTGATGCTATTAAAGCATGCTGCTGGCCCTGCTCTCCCCAGGTAAGCTGGTGGTGCACCTGTCAAGATGAGAGACAGCTGGGCACAACGTTGAACTGTATCATACATAAAGGAAAGTGGTGAATAATAAAGACTAGAATGAGCAGTTTACTCATTCCATTCTTTATGTGTCCAGCTAGAAATAGGATGGATCGTCTCATCCATGCTCAGTAGCAGTGGTTTTTTTCCATGAACAGCAATTGGAGGGTCACACACAGGGAACAGCAGCATGGTTACATCAGGCATGGGAAGCTGACATTAAGTTCCAGGAGCACAGGCTGTTTGTTGATTAAGTTTCCTGGAAGATAAATTAGCCCTCCCTGCTTTTTGAAAGCAGGCTGGGATGCTCTAATGGGTTGGGATGCTTCTAGCACAGCCTTGCAGCCCACTCACTGTCTTTGCCTAAGCATCAGCTACTTGGTGGTTGTTTTCTCTAAATCTCCCCCCAAGAAATTTTACCAGCTGGTTTCTTTAACAGAACAAAGCTTAGCATTTTTAGGTGACTTTACTCTTCAGTGGTGCAGGCACACATAGATCAGTTCTGTGATATGAACCACAGAGATGGCACACTGCTGCAGCAATCAAGCTGAAGACCATTGGGCAGACTGTGCATCCTTACCTTCTTTCTTGGAGGCAACCCCACGGTAGCCAGAGTATAAGCTGTTGGCTTCCTTGCTTCTCCTGCTCAGCTGGGAGCCCTCCTTGTTGTGTCATCATCTGCAGCTGAAGATAGGCTATAGCATCCCATTTCTCCTCCCTCCCTTAATGCCCTTTCCCTTGTAGTCAGCACTTCATTTGAGGCCATAAAACTAGCTTTTATTGACTTGCAGACATTAAAAATATACACAGAGCAATCAATTCTAGTATCAAAACAAGAGCCCCTTGTTTACCAACCCTCCCACGTAACACCCACTATTAACATTATGCATTTGTAAACATTTGGTGTTTTTATAAAGGTATTTATTTAGTTTGATAATACTGATGCACTAAGCTTGGTCTGTCAGACAGAGCAAGTTATTGAAAGCAGGTGAAAGGAAGTCAAACAGTGGTGGGATAGATAGAAATTCATACACTGCACTTCTACATAGGTTCAGAAAGAAAGCTGTTAAAGACAAAGCCCAGCAACAGAAAAAGGCAAGCTCACAAGATAGAGTTCCTTCCTAGGGGAACAGAGCCATCAGTTTTCCCTTTCTCTTACATCCAGATGCTCTCTGTACCACACCCAGGCCTGATGACAAAATATCTTCTTTCTACTTTAATTCTTAGTCTTTTTTTTCCCTCCCAGGAGGCACTCAATAACCCTTTTATAGTTCATAGGAAGCCTCGCACTTGAGTAATTGCTTCAGTCCTGACCTCCCTTCTTCTCAGCAGAGGACTTGAGCTTCTTCAGCCACCTGCAGAGAGGACTTGGCTTGCACAGCTTACGACTTGGTCTTTTGCACACCGAGTGGTTTTCCACTGCTGCCTGGTTGATCACCACATCTGCCTCTCCATCTCCCACCTCTCCAGCAGCCTGCAGGGCCAGGTCAGTTTTTGACACTCCTGCAGCTGGCTGAGCTGTTGCAGCTCTGTCCTGGCTTGGAGCACATGTTAGAATGTCTGGGCTCATCGTAGCAGGCTCAGTTTCAGCCTCTTGTGGCTCCTGCACAAAGGGCTGGGTGTCACCGTGGTCTTGAAGCTCCATGCTTTGCACTGCTGTTTGTGGCACAGACTTCTGCTCGTGTTGCAGAGAAGACAAGGCTGTTTCATTTTCTTTGTTCTGCATCCCCACAGCAGCATCCTGTGATTCCTCCTTTGGAAGAGGATTCTCACTGCTCCCCAGCAGAGACTTCTGGGCAGTAGAAAGATCAGCTTCTGCCTTTTCTTGCTCAGCTGCTTGCCTTTCAGGCTTCCCAGGCCTTCTGCAATACCTCTCATGGCTGATTTCATTTCCCATGATGAAGGTGTACAGCAGTAATCCTGCTGGCAGCCTTCTCCACAGAGCTGTTAGGCTTTGGAATACTGAGAAACCTCAGTCAGAAGTAGGCAGAGAACCAAGCTTCCTTCTTGCTGCTAAGCTGAGTGGTATATAACTCAAAGGGCAATTACCCACCTGCAAATTAGAAATTAATTAAGACCCACACCCTATCCCTCTGTAAGGGCTTGGTTGATTCTGTGATTCTGAGGAGCATATAGATGGGAAAGAGTGCAAAACTTGCTGTGAACTCTGTCTGGAAGTTCCCCAGGATTGGGCTGGATATGGGATTTATAATTTT